CACATGCTTTACTTGCTAGTTGTCAAGAGAGAGAAAGAGAAATGAAATAGACATTGCAAGGTTAAGGGGCCCATAAGATAAAAACAAATTGAGACCTGAGAAAAATGATTTCTCCTCTTATATTCTGGGATGTAGTAGACAAACTCCTCCACCACATTTCTATATAGTGAGTGTCACAGGACTGGTAATTATAATATTCCTCACTGTTGACCAGTGGCATAACACCAAAGCAGAATTTATTAAAAGTGATTTTGGGGGCTGATATGACCCAGTGATTTCAGAACTACTCAAGGGATTGGAAAGACTGCAAGTCCTCTGAGCAATTTTCCATGACTATCATTTTCACAACTGGGCTTTTGCTATCCAGGGTTATATAACTAGAAAGTTATAAAATTATGATTTGAACTCAGGTCTGACTACCTCTAGAATCTATGTTCTTTATGCTAAATTGTGATTCTCCACCCCTACCCCTACCCCTGAAGGCTTTCTGGATGTTTCAGTATTGACCACTATACAATAAGTAATCTGCTCTCTTCCTTTTCATGAGAACAAAATGTAACAATAGCTTGAAATATTCTTCATTGAGTGATTTGAAGTTAATACCTTAAGATTCTTTGAATGTGTTAGAGTAAAGGATATTATTTGTAGCCACTCTTATCATTTCCCTAAAGAGTTCTTATTTATCAAATCACCTTTCCTCAGCTGACCAGTCTTTGATGAAGAAGAAAAATGAATGAACAAAATAAGTGTTCTTTTTGAGGCCCATATCAGGGTGTAACCAAGTAAGTATCTACCCTTTTAGCCTCCCAGTCACCCTGGTGTGGGGCTGTAAGGATCCCTTGACCCTGGCTCAGATTCTGTAAAAGAGAGAGAGAGCGAGAGAGTCAGGGTCAGGGGTAGGGGATTATTGGAGCTCCTGGTGTAAGCAAGCAGGAGAGAGAGGAGGAAGGAAAGCAGAGGCTGGGAAGGCAGACCTTGTTCTGAGTGTGAATGGACCACAGGGCCCTCGAGAGCAGGAAGTAGTGCAGGCCAAGACGCTCACGGAAAAGCTCTTATCTAAACAGAGGTGGCCAGGACGCTGGATCACCTCCACCATTGTCCAAGGAGCTGACCCAAAGCCTTCAATCTCTGAAAACTCTTCTCCACTCCCCCCTCTCCATTCACACAAGAAGTAATTTTCAGTATGGACTCCAAGGCGTCACAAGGTCTCTCACTGCGCAAGCAAGTCACTCCTCCAGAATCCCCTCAGCCTGACCCTGTGACCACCCCAAAGGCCCAGGCCCTTTTCCTGGAGCAAAAGGAGCAGGAACTATTCTGTCTAAACACTCCTTCCAACTCTGCCTTTTTCTGCCAGCATCCTCTCCCCTATATTGTTTTGTTTGTTTTAAGAGAATGTGAGAGGAGGGGAAAAGATAGTGTTTGCAGATTCTATTAATCTGATGGTTCAGACACACTATCGCTAATGTTTTGACACAACACCCACAGTAGCAGAGGAAAGTTTACAGCAGGCCCTTCTACAGGATGGTGCACCATAATGGGGAACCAGCCCTGGTCGTGCCCTCTGGCAAGGTTCCAGGTGGTCTTTTTTTCTTTTCTATTTTTTTTAAAGACATTTTACAGCCTCGATTCATTTGTTCTTTATTACTGCTCTACCCCTTTGTTTCATAACTTGAAATGATTTTTCAATAATCTTTACAAACAGATTCTAATCACAGTTAGCATGGGCAGTCAAATCCCATTAAACAGATAAGCAGAGTCCACACAAGAAGTCTTCAGATTTCATCATCCAAAAAAGAAAAAAAGAGAGAGAGGGAGATTATTCTCTGTCTTGGGACATTGTAGAACTTTTTAGAGTCTCTTTCTTTCCTAATCAAATGTGCTTTAATTATAAATTAATATATGCATTCATTCTTAGGCAATGGCTCAGGCTCAAACAGACATCCATTGGGTGTTGGGGTACTCAGCTCCCCACCGCACAGCTCCGCTACCCCAGAGGCCTTCTTTAAAACCAACGGCCTGCTATAAACATATTGGAGCTTGTAATAAAACAGGCCAGCTTCATCCTAGAACATGTCCAGGAATCATGCAGACAAAAGTAAGTTATTAGAGAAAGAAAAAGATTATGATAAAAGTTGGATTTTTTATTTTGTGGCAAGATTTTTAAAAATGATAAAATTCATCAGCCAGTAGAAAGCCAAGAGTTCCCATAATTTTAACATCAAAAACATTTTTATGACCAAAACTAACGAGAATTTATGTCAAAAATGGAATTATACAGTATTCCTCTGCCTCTTCCCCCTTCCACCAAAGGACCAGGTGCTGCTTCTCTCTCTTAAAAGCTCATGTTTCATTTCTCTTGGTGTCTGACTTTGTACTAGTTTGATTCCGAGGACTCCCAGAGTTTTCCTTTCTAATACGTGACTCTGAGCCAGATTTACTCTGTGAAGCATAGTGGTAGAGGTTTGGGGAGGTTCCTTGGGAACAGAATTCATCCTATGTGATGGATTGAGCTCTGGTGTGGTGGAAAAATTTAGGAATATCCGGGTTCTAATCCCAGATATGCTGTGATCTGAGCAAGGCATTTGATTTTCCTGAGTCTTAGCTTCCTTATTGGAAAAGGGGATCAGAATACCTGCTTCATTGGGTGACTGTGCAAATTAGTTGAGCTTAAATGTGTATAGCTTCTAGCCCAGGCCTGGCACATTAGTAGTAGCAGCTCAGTAACAACTTGTTTCCCTTCACCCACGCAAGAGTCAGAATTTAGCAGAACAGAGATTTTGAAAGAACGATCATCTTAATATCGTTTATTATAAGGTGAAGGGATCCTAAAAAGAATTCTTTATCTTAAGACTCAGGTTGTAGGGTAGACCTTCTAGAATTGGGGGGTTATTAAACTTGCTGGAAATCATTTATGAAATGAAAATTTTATGCTGGATTATTACAGGAGTCTTGGGTACCATAATAGGCACCAAACAGATGGGCAATTTCTAGAAAGGCTAAATGAAGGGTTGAACCATATCACTCAGTTCTTGAGTCTATTGTTTTCTCTTGTGAGAAAGCCATTTCAAAGAAAACAGATACTAACCATCAGTGCCTAAAGCTAACTCAGCTTGACTCTCCCTTCTGATTCTACCAGATGCAACAATCCATTCTCTAAAGAAAACAAAGTGCCAGTTCTGCAATTTAGGTAGGGGGAAGGGAAAGACAAGAGGAGTGAAGAAAGTCAGAAAATCAGAATTGTTCAAAGCCAGCACTTAAGAAAAAGCACAGGTGAACACAAAAGGATACCTTTAGGTGCACACTATACATTGTATTTCCTGTGCTGGATTTGCAAAGGTGGATGGGAACTGGGTTCAGAAACTGTGGATGACAATGTGAGTTCTAATACAAACTGTAATTGCAGACCGTGCACATATTGACACTCAATACATTTTGGTTGTGAATGATGAGAGCTATTTGCCAAATTTTGGAAAGAAGCTGTTACGTAAAAAGGGCTAAAAAGGACATTAAATCCTGAAAGCAGTTATGGTATTTGTGTAGTGAATATTTGATAAGCCTTTTCTTCCTATGTGCAAAGAAGCACTGAAGCATGACAGTTTCATGTTTATGATGGTAGTACATGGATATTATGTTACATATATGGTGTAAGAGTTAAATGCACAGATTTTGGAATGAGCTAGAACTGAGTACAAATTCTGCCTCTGCTACTTACTAGCTGTTGGGCTTCAGGTAATTTACTTAACCTATCCATTAAATGGGGGATGATAGGGGCCGGCCCATGTGGCGCAAGTGGTTAAGTGCGCAATCCGCTGCGGCGGCCCGGGGTTCGCCGGTTCGGATCCCAGGTGCGCATCGACGCACCGCTTGGCAAGCCATGCTGTGGCGGCCTCCCATATAAAGTGGAGGAAGATGGGCACGGATGTTAGCCCAGGGCCCATCTTCCTCAGCAAAAAAAAAAAGAGGAGGATTGGCAGATGTTAGCACAGGGCCGATCTTCCTCACACAGACACACAAAATAAATAAAAATGTTAAAAAAATAAATAAATGGGGAATGATAGTACCTACTTTTGGGGATGCTGTACAGATTAATGAGATAGTATAAATGAATCACTTAGCATAGTGCCTAGTGCATAGAAGATATAATCTTTATTATAGTAGACTATAATATTGCATAGTGTATATTATAATTATTATAGCCTATGGCTGGTTAGCTTGCCTGTTGGGACCAGCAGTCAATATTGTCGAGATTGTAGGTTTGACCCCAGTTGTTGGCTTTGCCTTTTTCTGTGGCCCAGACTGCCTTCATCTGTCTGGTCACAGAGGGGTCAAATATTTATGAGTGTGAAGGGAACAGGGCAAATTCATCACCACTACAGGAAAATCAACCCAAAGCATGTAGGTCAGTAATGTCATCTCCATCTATGGAGGGTGGTGTTCTCCCATTATGTGTCAAGAGAAGAAGCCTGGTAACTTAGACCAGATGGGAGAGCCCCACAGATGGCTGCTTTTTGGAGTTAAACAGACTGACATGTCACATGTAGGGATACATGTGTTGGATACATAACTGGCTGCTTTCTTTTAATTTATTTATATCAATCTCTAGTCCAAAACTAATTTGCTTCAACTCCAGGGCAATCGACGGAGATGACATGGAGTACACTCTTACCCCGGAAATTTTTTTTTCCTCTCAATGGTTATAAATACCTCCACGCTATTGTACTTGGCATGCTGTATGCAAATGGAGGTAGGAGTCCTAAAGCTCATTAGGAAAGGGACAGAGGCTTGGAGCACAGAGAGGACAGAGTAAAGCTGAAGCTGATAACAGTGGCCTTGTCCAGAATAGTGCATGGGAGCTTTCTTATCTCTCTTTGGCAGGAGGTGCTGTGGGCTTCCTGTGCGAAATCAGGAGCGAACGCTGCTTTCCTCTTGTTGTTCGGCTTCCTCCCCCCTCAAGACGGTTCCCAGCACAGTGATTATCTTTGCATCTTCAAACATGGCACAATCTACTTCCTTAAGAGCTTGATGTATTCTTAAGGCTTAGGCAAATTCCCCTCCCCCTAAATCTCTTTTCAAGTGCTGTTATATAGACAGGCTCCTAAATGACATTCTATTTTTATGGTTCCAATTACAAAGAGGGAAAAATAAGAGTCCCCAAATTAGACAAGAGCCACAGAATTTGTCCTTTTCATTTGGAGGACCTTGCAGTAAGTCTAGCCTAAAGTTACCATACTAGGGCTTGTGCTGTCAGTAACTGCTCTTAGAGTTATGGGGGTGGGGGGTGGAGGATAGAGGTTGACAGCCCCATGTGAACTCAGACAGCAGACTGCGTTTCCCTCAGGAAACGCCTGGACTGGCTTTACTCTAACATATTTCTTTGCATTTCCTGAAGACCAAGAGTATGAAATTAAGATCTTTGTCTAAGACCTCCCTTATCTTTCTCACTTCTTTGGGGGAAAAAAGAATGAAATTAAAGTTTTCTCTTCCAGATACAAGGTAACTTCAGCTGTTTGATGTCACAATACCAAGTATAAGTGCACATGTCTAATATAGGTGTACACATGTGTGCATAGGTGTATACATGCATAATAAACCCCCATATGCATGTGACGTATATATACATTATATATACTCATATGTTACTAAGTGTATGTGGAAGTTGTGAGGTCAGGGGCCGGCCTGGTGGTGCAAGTGGTTAAGTGCGCGTGCTCCGCTGCAGCGGCCCGGGGTTCGCCGGTTTGGATCCCGGGCATGCACCGACGGACTGCTTGGCAAGCCATGCTGTGGTGGCGTCCCATATAAAGTGGAGGAAGATGGGCACGGATGTTAGCCCAGGGCCAGTCTTCCTCAGCAAAAAAAGAGGAGGATTGGCAGATGTTAGCATAGGGCTGATCTTCCTCACCAAAAAAAAAAAAAAGAGGTAAGGTCAAAAAGTAGTTCAAGGTATGGATGTTATAGTCTAGAAAATGGAGAATACTGATAATGAAAAATAGGGCAAAGTGACTTTTTTATATGATTTTCATACTTTATCATTAAAATGTTTTATGTAAAGGAGACAGTGTGATTTCTCTTTGGTTCAATTTCCTTTACTAATCAATAAGAGTTAAAATGTTCACTTATTTTACTGGATGATTAAAGGAATATCTAGTAGAAACCACAGAAATTCCTTGAGGAATGATCAGTCCTTATTAATTCTTTTTTATTTTAAATTTTATACTCTAACTGTAAAAACAGACACTTTAATCTGATATATAGACCAGGTACAAACAACACTAGGGAGTTACTGCTAATTCTATTAGATATAATAATGGCATTGCTGTTATATTAGAAAACGTGCATATTTTTTAGAGATACACACTGAAATATGTAGGGCTAAAATGACATGATGTCTGGGATTTGCTTTAAAATACTTCACAAAAGGAAAAAATAAGAAGAAATAAGGGATAGATGAAACAATTGTAGCAAAATCTTGATAACTGTTAAATCTGGTAATGAGTATATGGGGATTTATCACACTATGTCTCTACTTATCAGAATGTTTAAAAACGATAAACAATTAAAACAAATGAAAACTCTTACTAGAAACAACATATCAGTACATCATGCCTGTCTGTATGTTTACAAACGTTTATGGAGTGCCAGTTACGTGCTAGGCCCTTGCTCAACTGTTAGGACAGAGTGAATAAGTAGATGTGGTCCCCTCTCCCGCTGTGGCTGCTGGCCCAGTGAGGCCTCATAAGCATTAAGTGGAAACTTAGAAGGTGGTGAGCGCTCTGGGGGTGGACATTATAGGGCAGTGCACCCAGGAGGGGAGCCTAACCCAGCAGACTCCATAGTTCACGTTCCGGAGACCTTTCTCAGCTCACGGACCAGAGAGGAATGATCACAGAACTTTTTTCTGATCATCACAAGCCCTTCTATCTTACCTTTTTTCTCACTTTTTTTATCCTCTCACTTTCATCTCACATTAAGTCATTGCTGCCCCTGGCTACTTAAGTTAAGATCAACCCCTCATTCTTTGTGGAAATTGGGCTTTAAAGTTCCTCCTGGTCTGAAAATCTCTAGAATCTAATCAAGATGTGTGCAAATTAGAGGTCCGCAAGCTTTCTGCTCACCACAAATTCTAGTCTAGAAGGTAAGAATACAAAATGATTCAATGAAATGCTCCCAGCGCAAGTAATCATAAAAATAACCACTTCCCTGCACTCACTCTTCAGGCTGGGAGGTAAAAAGAAAACTGCATCTAGAAGGGGGCTGTAGAAATAAACAGTATCAACACTTAACGTAACCCGTGAAGCAGAAGAGCTGGCCAAGGGTGGCTGCAGGTGCTCTAGCCCAGCTCCTACAGGCACTCATCTCTCCTCACCTTCCCAGGCTGGCAGAGAAATGCGAGCCTTGGAGCCCACAGATATTTTTTTTTTTTATTGATGTTTTAATAATTTTTAACATTGTGAAATTTGGGGTTGTACATTTTTGTTTGTCCATCACCATATATATGTCCACAGATATTTTTTTGAGGAAACTAAAATCTCTCTTTGTATATCTGCATTGTGTACCAAATAAATCCATATTTAAATCTAAAAAGCTGCTTTAAAGGAATCAGTATTCATTTTGTAATAAATAGTAGACAGCAGATCACCTGCAGCGTTCATTTACTGAGGACCTGCATTGTAATACGCGTGGTACAGTGCTAGGCTCCAGGGCAGTTCACTACCTATTGGGGCAGGGCATGAAAATATAAATTACAGTACAAATTAAGGTGGACTTGCTATAGGGTTATAGAGTGGTTCTGACAGTGAGAGCTGTGAGGTTCACAGTGATCAGAATAAGCTGCTTAAAGAAGATCAGGTTGCGGTGTAGTGAGGGCGTGTCTAGTCATGGTGACTGTGAGTGAAGGTGAAGGGATCAGGGCGCACATGGCATTACACTCTGTGATACAGTCAGAATAATTCCTTACTTTTCTATGGAGTCTTTAATTTACATAACTTCTCCAAGTAAATTAAGTCATTTAATGCTTGTACAACCCTGTGTGACTGACAAGGCAGATACATTTTTATTCCTATTTTTCAGAAGAGAAAACTTGTCATACAGCTAGGGGAAGTCAGGGTGGGACTAGGACTCAGGTCCTCTGGCTCCTGTTTCACTACTCTTTGAACTAACCAAACCAAACCACGGTTTGACTAGAACAAAGGGTTTCTATAGGGGTAAGGTTGGAAAAGCAGGTAGGGAATGGACTGTGGGTGGCCTTGATGTCAGACAAGGGAGCCTGGCTTTCTTCACTACAGTTGTTGAAGCTTTTGGAGCAAAAAAGATTCCACTAAAAACCAGAACATTCAGGGGGTTGGTCTGGCAGCAGTTTTGTGGGTGCTGGAGTAGGAAAAGCCAGCTGGCAGCAAGGTCAGTTAAGATACTACTGCACTGCCCAGGTCAGAGTGGACTTAAGTGTCTTTTTGTTGTTTGGGTTTGTTTATTCATGTAGAAGTTAGGGTACATAAAACAATAAATGATCAATAAATATTTACAGTAATGATTTGAGTAGTAAACATATGAAAACAAGCCTACTGATAATAACATGTTTTTGAAAGAACATGCTAACTTCCAGATGTAGGGCAAAATCTCTCTTTAAAATAGTACTCTAGGGGCCAGCTCGGTGGCATAGTGGTTAAGTTTACGTGCCCCGCTTCAGCGGCCCAGGGTTCATGGGTTCAGATTCCAGAAGCGGACCTATACGCTGCTCACCAAGCCATGCCGTGGCGGCGTCCCGTATTCAAAATAGAGGAAGATGGGCACAGATGCTAGCTCAGGAATAATCTTCCTCCAGCAAAAAGAGGAAGATTGGCAACAGATGTTAGCTCAGGGCCACTCTTCCTCACATACACACATAAAAATGGTACTCTAATAGCTAATTTAAAATAACGAGAGAGAGAGAGAGAGAGAGATTTCGTGGACATTTAGAAACAAAAAAGATCTTAAAAGATAAAAAACTCCAACACCTTTATTTTATAATTAAACACTTGAGGCCTGAGAAGTTAAAGAGCTTGCCATGATACCCCAAAACTTGTAGACTGAATTTAATAACTGCTTCATGATGTGTGTTTCCATATATACTTAATTAACCCTGGAAAAAATTAGCTGTATAATGGAACATTCTGATTAAAAGTCAGCCTTTTATAGATGTGAAACGCTATTATTTCCTTGAGGTTTCTATTCATTAACATAACTTTATTATTTTTTTCTGTGTTTGCATGTTTCCTCCACTAGGAACTAATTAAAATCTAGATACTAAATTTTCTAATTTATGCATTTTTATTTAATATTTAATATTTAGAACAGGAAGAACGTATGGAGATACACTCGTGTGTTTTTTTTCAGATCAAGCAAAATATATTCGTTGTTTTTAAGTTTTGAGGATGGATATTGGGAAAAAAATCTAAAGAAAAGAAGAAAATGTGTGACTTGGTTATCTGAGGACTTATCCAATGGTTTTCATTTCACCTGTCACCATGGGCTGGACCATGCTGCAAAGCAAAATAGTGATGACTTACTTTTTTTTAAAATAGGTATGACTTTTGCTCCAATAATGAAGAATCCTTTATCCTGGATCCTGAGAGCAACATAGGAAACAGAATTGAGAGCATCACTCAGCGCACGGCAATAATAGAAGGAAAGAATAAGGTATTGTTTATAAAAATAAGCATTGGGGGGCCAGCCCGGTGGTGCAAGCGGTTAAGTGCGCTTGCTCCGCTGCCGAGGTCGGGGTTCGCCAGTTCGGATCCCGGGTGTGCACCGACACACCGCTTGTCAGGCCATGCTGTGGCAGGGTCCCATATAAAGTGGAGGAAGATGGGCATGGATGTTAGCCCAGGGCCAGTCTTCCTCAGCAAAAAGAGGAGGATTGGCAGATGTTAGCTCAGGGCTGATCTTCCTCACAAAAAAAAAAAAAAAGCCAAAAAAATATAATAAGCATTGGGATGGATATTTATTCTAAAAACACATACTCAGCTCTCATTTTGGGTTTATTAGAACCAGAAGTAATTCAAATGCTCAAACAGAAATTCAGAGAGAAGAAAGACAATATCCGAGATATGTCTTCATGGAGAGACACACTGAGATTACTTCAACTGCTGTATTCTCCAACTGACCACCAGTTCCAAAGTAATAAGTACTTAGTCCTAAAGGAAGAGGTGTAGCTGTCTCTTTAACATCAAACTGATCCACATCAGTGGTTCTCAACTCTGGCTGCACACTAGAATACTCTACCAATTATTATCACATTTGAATCTCTGGGGTAGAGTCCAGGGTTCATAAAACCTCCCCAGGAGATTCTAGCATATAACCAGGACTGAGAATCACTGACATACATAAAGTGGGATGTCAATAAGCAAAAGCTAGTACAAGACTTCAGGTTAAAATTGAATGTTTCCAGTTCACAAAAGATCTTGTTTTTCCCCTCTGTCCCTCTGTCTTTGCAAGGGCAAAGCCTGACTCAGTTGGGGTATACAAACACACACAGGATATCAAGATTCCCTGACCTAAGAAATACAAATCAAAACCACAACGAGATATCACCTCACACCTGTTAGAATACCTATTATCAAAAAGACAAGAAATAACAAGTGCTGGTGAGGATGTGGAGAAAAGGGAACTCTTGTCTGCTGTTGGTGGGAATGCAAATTGGTGCAGCCAGTATAGAAAACAGTATGGAGGTTCCTCAAAAAATTAAAAATAGAGCTACCATATAATCCAACAATTCCACTTCTGGGTATTTATCCAAAGAAAATGAAAACACTAACTTGAAAAGATAGATACACCCATAAGTTTACTGCAACATTATTTACAATAGCCAAGATATGGAAACAACCTAAGTGTCCATTGATGGATGGATGGATAAAGAAAATGTGGTATATACACACAATGGAATATTATTCAGCCATAAAAAAGAATGAAATCTGCCATTTGTGACAACCTGGATGGACCTTGATGGCATTATGCTAAGTGAAATAAGTCAGACAGAGAAAGACAAATATCATGTGATCTCACTTATACGTGGAATTTAACACTTTCAAACAAACAAAAACCAAGCTCATAGAAACAGAGAACAGACTGGTGGTCGCCAGAGGCAAGGGGATAGGGGATGGGCAAAATGGGTGAAGGCGGTCAAAATGTACAAACTTCCATTTATAAAATAAATAAGTCATGGGGATGTCAATGTACAGCATGGAGACTATAGTTAATAATATTGTATTGAATTTTGAAAGTTGCTAAGAGAAGAGATCTTAAAGTTCTCATCCCAGGAAAAAAAATTTTTTAACTATGTATGGTGATGGATGTTAACTAGTCTTATTGTGGTAATCATTTTGCAATATATACAAATATTGAATCATTATGTTGTACACCTGTAAATAATATAATGTTATATGTCAATTACACCTCAATTAAAAAAAAGAGAGAGAGACTTCTAACCAAAAAAAACCCCGACATTCCCTGACCTAATCAAGGTCTAGCAGGCATTTTTTCTGCCACTCTTGCACCATTCATTCTCTATTCCCCTAACCTCCACTGAGCCTCAGCAACAGCTGACACCTTGTGATCCAGGCAAATCCCAGTGGATCTCAGACCTGGTGGCTTTTTTTCTGCTGAATTAGTGAAAAACACACGTTAAATATCTGGTATTATCAGGCACAGAGGTAGTGATGGTTTAAAAAGGAAAAAAATATCAAATAACCCCTTGCTGAAATGTCTATTTATATGTGCATATCTTGATTTGGAGTAGTCTGTTAATATGGATGCTATCTCCTTGAGTGTGGTTATGTTTATGTTATCTATTTATTCAGCTATATTCTTTGCATTTGAATGTCACAAAGTTGATGGCATCATTCCCCATTAGGGGTATAGGGGGAGGGAAAAAGGGGTAAAGGGGCACATTTTTACAGTGATAGATGGCAACTAGACTTTTGGTGGTGAATATGTTGTAGTTTATACAGAAGTTGAAATATAATGATGTACACCTGAAATTTATGTTATAAACCAGTTACCTCAATAAAAACAAAACAACAATAACAACAAATAACATCTGAATTCATTATGTAAAACTTTTTGACATATGCTAATATCAACATCATTCTTTGGCAGGCCACAGTGGTTATCTCCATTTTAAAGATAAGAAAAACTGGGGTGATAAGATGATTAACTCAAAGCCACATAGCTTAAAAGTGGCAAATGAGAAACTCAAACCAAAGTCTTCCTATTCCAAAACCCAGTATCCTGCCAACTAAGCCAATACAGAAATTAGTTAAAATGGTGATGACTTGCATAATGATATCAACAATCACTTGTTAAGGATTTAGGAAAAGTTTTTATAACTACAGCAGTAGCTGTAGGTGGTTTACAATTCTTTTCCTCTAATACAAATGAACAGTAGTTTAAAACATTCCATGATTTAAGCAAAATGTAATAAGCAAAAATCTAACAAAGCCATTAAAAACTTTTTAAAAAATAAAAAATAAATAAAACATTCCATGATATGTAGCTATTGATGAGAAAGCAGTTTAATGAAATACTTAGAAAAGAGGAAATTCTGTAACCTTGAAAGTTTGAGTGACACTATATTTTTTAAAAAAGAAAATTGCCTCAGAGTAGAAAGCAAGTTAGTGGTCACAGAGTACTAGAAAATCTCAAGGTGCCATTGATTGTGTCAATTCATTTTGCCTTTTCCTGACCATATCAGGTGGATATGCTGTTAATTGCTGGGTATTAAAACAAGCATTTCTGAGCTTAATTTCAGTGGTAACTTCCAGTCCTATTTTGGTATCCTATCCACAAAAATATACAATAGAAAAAAAAAAAGGAAAATGAAGAGGCTAGGTGAGGCTGCTGATTAGCCTGAACCATGAAGTGGCAACTTGACTCCGTATAGAATACCTGTAAAAATGGTGGGAGTGGAGTAACAAAATCTGGGTGAGATAAAGGAACTTCCCTGATATTTTCCACGTGGGCTTGAAACAAATTTATTGTCTTGTAATTCTGTAGTTCTGCAGTGGTTTTAAATATAGACCTCCAGACACAGTTGGCACTTGTGCCATCCAACCTGCAGTCAGGAGCCAAGGGGTCAAGCTCTGCCACTTTATATCTTGCATAACCACTTGCAAATCAGTTCACCTCTCTGAACTTGAGTTCTCATGTCCAAAAAATGGAGCTAATAATATTTGCCCTACCTAGTTTGCCTGTTGTTATAAAGATGATTGTCATATATACCCTAATGCAATTCCCCAAATCGATGGTGATCATATACAATGAAGACTATTTGTTAAACAATTTGTTTGCATTGAAAAAACTTTTAATACGCTTCCTAAACAAAGTTGACATATATATAGCATATCCTATTAGCAGCTGTAACTATAACACATTAGACTTTAAATAGATTATTAATTCCATGTTCTAAATTTAGAAGAATTTACTACTTTTACTTTTAGTGTCTACTACTGTATCTTTTTGTGGATGTGAAAAAATTTATCTTTCATATGATAATGACAAATGAAAGTTTTACTATTTCAGAATTATTTACCCTGGTCTTTCCTTTACAATTAAAACCACTTTTATTTTCTGTACATTTTTAAAAAGTAAATTGAAGTCCCAACTTAGATGACAATGATCCTTTTACCTGCAGTCATCCAGCCAGCGTGCCCAGCAACACTCTCCACAGATAGCAGAATGCAGGTCCTGCTGGAGCACTTGCTGGATTTCAGGGACTTGCTTTCTTTTCTGTTTGTTTTGTTGATTTTTTTTTTTTGTTTAACTCAAGGAAGGGTGCAGAGGACAATAAAATTCAGTTTCCTTATTGCAAGTTTTGGCCTAGATTTGTGAAAAGTGACTCATCAATTGGAGTTGCTAATAGCAAATGTGGAGTTTTAGTATTGTTTAAATGGGGTTGCCAGACTACTTAGGCTTGTAGATATGGAGTAGGAAGTAGAAGGAACTCTGTGTTGGAAAAAACACACAGGAAATACGTATTACAACATTAATTCTGTGAGGCTGGAGAATCGTGACAGTTTTAATGTTTTAGCAACATTTCCATTGAAATTGTTTTGAGGTTACATTGAGAAATGTGTGTACTGTATGAGGCAAATACATGACAGAAACATTAATACCTAATCACAGAATTACAACTTGTGTTTCATTTCCCACACACTCCACAATTTTTTCTCTCACGTTCTATTTTCCCATCACTTGGCTCAATTGTGCCACCCTAGCTTAATTTTGATTCTTCCATGACCTTTCCGTATCTACTTTTATTTCTCCCTGAAACACTTAAAAGGAAACTATATTAGAAACATCCCGAGATTAAAATCCCTGTTCCATATATAGATTTTTTTAAAAACTAGTGCTTGAAATTAGGCTGAATTACACACCATCCCATCTATTCTATTCTGTGAGGTTCAAACAACATTGTAGTAGTGAATTAATAATGTTTAGTGAAAGAGAAGGAAGGAAGGAGCATGAATAACTTCCAAACTTACTGTACCTGACGACAGTTTTCATCAGTGTTCCTGGGTCATACAAAAGAACCCAGAGAACGGACTTTAAGGGTCTGTTTCTAGTATCTAAATCCTGAGGTCCTGGCAGGGCAAGCAGAGGCACCCTCAAAGCGTGAGAGTTCAGAGGTAAAAAAAAATTATGGCAAATAAAAACTAATTATACAACTAATATAAGCAGACATCCTTGAGAATTTCTTTTGGTGTATCTTATAAAATAAATGATTATAATTTCAAACATGTTACAACTCAAATTCTTGACACTCTCCCTTTTAAAATATTAAGTTGATATTTGGTCTTCCAACTGTTATGCTATTTTCATTTTCCCCCCCTTGAAATAACAGTATCTGGTTATGAGCACTGGGGAATGGATTTGTCCCTTTAACTCAGAAGACTCCTGCGTTGAGACTTACTGTCCCGTGAGAAGTCATCTCCTGTCCACTTACCTACAACTCACACTTGAGTTCCTTTTTCCTGACCCAATAAAGTTTATACTTCAATTGTCAAATATCTTTTGTTTGTCATGAAAATATGTTTTAATTTATAATTTAAAAATATATTCTCTGGAAAAAGAGAAGTACTCTAGAACTCAGATAATTTTTCATAAAGTTGATCACAGGATATCAATTTCATCTTATTTTTAAATTTTCTTCTTTAATTATAACTTTTTCATTCATCAATCATATTTTCAAACCATGTAACACTGTATCAGTTGAAAAATATCTTGCAGCTTTGGAAAAGACTAAAAAAGAAAACTAGTATTTCTGTTCATAGTAGCATTTGACTTATGTGACCTATCTCTGCTGATGAAAGGAGATAATTTCAAGGAAAAACCCAATTCAAAGAGTAGACAGAACTCTACCAATAGATCTGTGCTATTAAATTGAAAGAGTTTTAAGAAAGGAGCAGTTTCGTGTAGAGATTAAGAGCACAGGCCCTGGAGTCAGACAAACCTGGGCAAACGTTCTGTCTAGGTCTGTCTGTGGTACTGTGTATCTTTGAGTGACTCACTTAACCTCTCTAACCTCAGTTGCCTCTTTTGTAGAACAGGGTAATACACCCACCTCATAGGGCTATAGGGAGGATTAAATGAGATAAAGCCTCACACACTGGCACTCAGTAAGGGCTACATAAAGGTACCCAGAAACAAAGAAACAATGTAAACTCACATCAATGTCATTTTCTAGTTCAATTTTAACAGAAAACTTGGGAGAGGTGAGTTCTGGGGCAGGCTTGACTATGGGTAAGGTGTCTGCTTTGGAAGGGGTCACTCAGAAAAATAAGAGAGACCCAAATGCGTTTGTATCTCCATGGTTCATCATGTGACCTGGATTCATTTCACTTCTAGGTAACTCAATTTTATTCTCTGACTATACAAAAATTCTGAGCTATCTGACTGTTTGTTGAAGTCATGTAAAATGGCTATAGCCATTCCCAGATTACCTGCACAGGTATTAAATAAGGCAAATGTATACATCTGAATTCACTTTCCCTTGCCATGAAACCCCGTTTTTGTTCTCAGTTTCTTTGAGCTCAGTGAAATCAAAATAATTTTAATAGAAACCCAAACACAACTTTCAGATTCAGTTAATTGCTGTCCATAATTTCACACATTCTCAAGCCAAACAGAAATGAATTTTTCACTTATTTATTGAGCAACAATAAATCTGAGAATCTAAATAGGATCCTGCTGAGGCCCATTAGGATAAACATTTGAGAGCTAACTTGATAAGACAAGCAGTGCTTGAGCTGAGAGACAAGCAGCGAGAGACTGGCTGTGAGGCCTTCGTTTGCGTTCTTTGCATCTGAACCTGCTGCATACTGCTTTGGAGCATCTGAGCCCGAGTTTTCCAAGACAAAATAAAGTAGTCAGAGTCTTACATGATGATCTCTATTGTCCTTCCAGCTGCTACCAGCTAACACTTCCTTTCACACTGCCACCTACAAGCCTCTTTTCTCACTACTTCTATTTTCTTCCATGACTCTTAAGTCATGGGTGTAGCAATTAAAAGGAAATGGTTATCTAGAATTTTTTTTATTTCCCATCTCTTAGAAAGATTAATAATCAAAATAGGGAAAGTGACACCTGACCTCTCTTTCATACGCTTCGCCACTGGTTATTTGCCAGCAAGTTCACGTGAGTGTTCCTCTGCAAAAGAACGGATAGTGTATACTCAATCTTCAAGTAGGGAAATTCTTCTCTATCACCTTAAAGTAAGCCTTCAAGGTTAAGAATAGGGATTGTATTATATTCCTCTCTGTCTTCCTTACAGCATCTCGGCAATGCCTTGATAAAACACTCAATAAATGTCTGCTAAAGTGAATGAAAAATGCCA